AAAATAATTATGTTGTTTCCTTTCATTACTTTTCTAACCTATAGTTTTCACACTTTTTCCATCACCATTAACAAGGAGGATCATCTGTATCAGAGTTGACTGAAAGTACATGGTTGTCTCAATATAATTTGTGTGTGTGTGTGTCTTATGTCTTACATAAATAGACTGATATGGTTGGGGCATATTGAAAGAATGACAGAGAAGTAAAAACTGTATACACGAGGGAGATGAATGGTCATAGACCAAGAAGACGATGGAGAGATAATATCCAGAAAGACCTGCAAACACTTGGTGTCACCAACCGGAAAGAGAAGGTCAACCAGAGAGATGAATGGAGGCAGGTGATATCTGCAGCAATGAACCTCAAGGGCTCAGAATGCTGAAGAAGAAGAAGAAGATGTCTCACGTAATTTATCAGGTCAGAAAATGATCTTTTCCACATTTACATTATTCAGTATGTCAATTTAAGAAGTTTGAGTTTGTTACCCTAAACAGTGTATATTGTCACTTATTGGTATATTTATAACACTAATATTATGCTGTGAGCAAAAATGTGAAATTCAAAAAAATATTATATTTAGGAATATCACAGTGAATTTATTGCTTTCTTTACTTCATATCTTTTTATCTGTGTTATTGTTGTATAGGAAATATGTATCCATTTATACTTGTTTCTGTACATTCTATATTCATTGTTCAGTTTCTGCCCATTTTACTCTATATTTCTAATGTATAAGATAATCCTAATCAGGGCTTGGTTTCCCAGGAAAAAAATGGTGTGAGTACCCAAACAAAATGTCTCGGGATTCACTATAAAAAGTCTATTACAGCAACGTGCCTAAAAAAGTGCCTGCACAGTCTTTTTATTTATTTCTGTTTAACTTTATTGATTCATAATAATCTCATAGAATCTTCCCATACACCATCCGTTCTTTTTTCAGCGCTCATTTATAAATTTCCCAGTGGCTTAATGTTTGTGCATGTCAGATGTCTTCATCTTCTTCAGCATTCTGAGCCCTTGCTGCAGATATCACCCGCCTCCACTCATCCCTCTAGTTGGTCTTCTCCTTCTATTTTGTGACAACAAGTGTTTGCAGGTCTGTGTGAACATTATCCCTCCATCGTCTTCTTTGACTGCCTTGTGGACTACGACCATTCAGCTCCCTTGTGTTTACAGTTTTTTTACTTTTCTGTCATCTGACAGTCTCTCAATATGCCCCAACCATTGCAGTCTATTAGCTCTAATGATGTCAGTGACCAGTGGTGATTTAAACAGATTATGAATTTTGTTGTTGCTTCTTACTCTCCATGCCCGCTGTTTGCCTCTTTAATGGATACAAAGATTCGTTTTAAGACTTTTAAAAAAAATTTGTAGTAAGGCATCATCTCTCTTAATTGTACTTCAAGTTCCAGAGCTATGTAATGTCAGAATGTAGCCTATATTATATCATAGAAGAGAAATAATGGCAGGTTAGAGGGCAAGAACAGGACAAATAAAGAGGAATATTTATATGACTTAGCACAAGAATCAGAGTCAGCAGCAGCAAAAGGAAACTTCAGAGACCTTTACAGCACAAGCAAATTAGTAGGTAAATATAGTCAGCCAGCTGGATCGATCAAAAATAGCCACGAAAAGGTACTTGCCAACACTAATGATTAAATGGACAAAATATTTTGAAATACTTCTGAATAGACCAGCCCCAGAGGTCCTTCCAGATATCCAAACTTTAAAAATGGAGCTGGATATCAATTATGAGAGGCCATCTAATGAGGAAATTAGAAAAGCTGTCAGTCATCTGAAGGAAGGAAAAGCTGCAGGTCCAGATGGTATCCCAGCAGAAGCTATAAACTCTTTTAGGCCGATGAATTTTGACAGACTTGGCTCACATTAATTTCTTTTTACAAAAATGGCAGAGGAAGTGGTGTACAAAAAAAGGCAATAGAGAATTTAATATACTTCTAATCCCTATATTTTCTTAAAGAGAAATGAATCTACATTGTGAATCCTTAGAAAAGTATGTGTTTAATGTTGTAGTTAGTAGGAAAGAAGAATTCAGAATGTCTTATTTCACAACAAAATTCTGCAAAGAAAATATTCTTCACTTACCATGGTTTTGCAGCCACAAGAGCAGTGAATATCTAAATTTGAGAACAAAACTTTAAAGTTTGTGCAATTTCCTAACAAATTGCAAAGTTATGATAAGTTTCTGGGTTATTTTAGCACTCAGAGGCTCTAAGTTCTCACAGAGTGCTGAACAAAGAAAGAAACGCAGAAAAGTGGACTTTTTCATTACACACAATCTTTACTTTGTTAGGTTATATACACAATGTAGCTGCAATGATTTCAGTGTAGCTTAGCCATAGTTTGGTGCTGTCTTTGTATTTCTTAGGAGCACTTTCCTTCTTATACACCCTAAAGATAGTAGCAATGGAACATTCTCTGTGTCAGACTCATCAGAACTGCTAGAACTAGATTCAGTAACAGCTGACCACTCAGCTGCTGTTGGCGTGAATTTACCGTCTGAATCACTTTCTGAAAAATATATTTTGTGACCTGTACTTGTGGTTGGAACGTTGGTATCCATGGCACTTGAAAACAAACTTAGAAAATGCATTGTTGAAAATGACGCTAGCAGTGAATCGGATAATCTGCCCACGTATTTTGGAACACAGACTTTTATTTAAAGGGAAACGTTATGGTAAACTTCCCTGAATACTGACATGGTATTTCCGAACATTAGAAACGAATACTATACCGTGTGCAACGCACACAAATGTACGGGACACATGATCCACACTGACAGTGTTGTTTGGGCAAATCGGAACTTCTAAATCAACACTCACAGTGTTGCTCGTGCCTTAAAGAGTAAAGGCCAATATTAATACTGGGAGACTGAATTAATACCAGCAGACTGGAGAAAAAAATAGCTTGCAAAACTGTCCAAAAAAAAAAAAAAGTGATTTGCAGGAGTGAGAAAACTATAGAAAAATGATGTTGCTGTCAGTTCCTGGACAATTTATTAAGTGCTATTGATATAAAGCTAAGAGATGAACCTGCAGGTTTTCTGCCAAACAGATTATATACTTATCATATAGCTCCTATTATGTATAATAATAGAGCAAAGCATGGAATTGAAATGACCTCTTTACATTGGATTCGTAGATTAGGAAAAAGCTTTTGACAGCATTGATAGATAATCAATATGGAAATTGATGGGGCACTATGGGATTCCATAGAAAATATTAACTTAGGTAAAGCAACATATAAAGACATGAAATGTTGAGCTCTTCTTGAGGGAAAGCTATCACATACTTTTTAAAAAAGGACAGGTGTGCAAAAGGGGTTTCTTATGTTGTCTCTTTATTTTTACTTGCAAAAGAAGACAGTAACTGTTAACACCAGGAATAGAATTCAGTGAATCCATACAGAACAGCTTGAATAAGATGCAAGATAAATATGCTTGATGCGAGATCACAACTAGGTCTAAAAATCCATAAGGGTAAAATTAAGATAATGATAATAAATCATTTAAATCACTGTGCGGTTTCTCTTTATGATATCCCACTCCAAGATGTTGAGTCATATACCCATGCTGGCAGTAATGTAAGGATGAGGGAACTGATAGAAATATTAAAATACAAATACAAAAAGCAAGAGGGGAAATAGCACTAGGAAATGTGTGGGGATGAAAAAAAATTATAACTAATACTAAATTACATTATTTTTTAAAATTCTAATGTCAAATCAGTACTGTAATATGGATGGAAACTTGGAGAAACAACTAAAACAGTTACTAATAAACTACAAACATTCATTAACTAGTGCTTGCAAAGAACAGAGTGAATTAAATTGTATGACAGAATCACAAATGTTGAGCTTTGGTATAAACTAAACAAATTCCAGTGGACTAAGAGGTGAAGAAAAGACACTGACCCTGGATAGGACATTCGTTAAGAAAACCTGAGAACATTATAACTAGACTGTCTTTGCACTGGAGCCCACAGGGGTATAGAAATAAAGACAGACCAAAACACATGGAGAAGAGAGCTAAAGAGTAAGGTTAATATAGCCGGGTGGCTAACGCCTATTGAATCATTTTTCTTTAGCAGAGATATTTGATTTGTAGTCGCTGGGAATGAATTTTCACCTTTTATTTGATGAAATGGACACGATGTCGGTTGTTAATATAGTCTTATCTGCAGAGCACTTAATTTTTATGTTTAGGAAAATAAACAGGTGTTAAATGTGATGGTTATATTCATTTGCTTGATTCAAATTAGAACTTGTAGTTCCTGCACATGATTTGTTAAGACCTTAACTATATAGTGTAGTCAGTTGTTGTGCAAAACATTCACATTTTCAATGCCAGGGTTATGAACATATTTTACGGACCTTGCTCAGAAGAACCCTTGTCTTTTCTGTACTTTTTCTGTTTTTGCTGTTCAGCGGGGAACTAGTTATTGCCATTACCCCAATTTTCCTCTCATCCTACTTCTTAATTCTCTATTTACTCTTCCCGCTAGCACATTAAAAAGATGGGGAGGACATGCCATGAGCTGCATGCAATGACAAAGGACAGAATGACTTGGCGTGAGTAGGTTGATGGCCTATGCTCCACTGGGGTTAGAAGGCAAAAGACAATTGTGGCTGTGCATTTCATTTTTAATTCTTTCATGTCTTTAACTAATTCTGTGATAGAAGCTGTTAAGTTCTAATCATTCTTTGGATTTATAATGGTAGCACTATGGAATAGGAGTTAAATTTAGAACTGGAACACAGTTGGCAAGTTGATAAAATTGGATATTTAAAAAAAAAGTTCAGACCAGTATATTATATCGGTTAGAACCACCAAACACATGATGAATTGTTTAGTACTGTATTCATAAATTTAAAAGTTTGTAGCATACTTAATTTTTTTTAAATTCTACAAAAATGTATTTCAATTTCTTGTTATAGCCCCAAATATTTCTTTAGACTATCTATATGCTGATTTTTACAGCAATTCTAATAGATGGCCCTTGATGATAGACCCACAAGGACAGGCAAATAAATGGATCAAAAACATGGAAAAACAAAATAATTTACACACAGTCAAACTGAGTGACAGAGATTTTGTAAGAAGTCTGGAAAACTGCATTCAGTTTGGTACACCTGTAAGTGTTTTGCTATGTCAGCATTATTAATTGAATTAATTGGTGTCATTATTGTATATGTTGTGGGTTTGAGTCTTGACAGAGCCAGACTTTTTTGGAAATGACCTAGGTTCCCAGGCTGACCCAGCCTTGAGTGGGGACCAGCCTTGGAAAGTAAAATGGTCCTTCACTTTCAATTTTTTTCAAAAACTTATATTGCTTATGTTTGTTTGCTTACACGACCATAAACGTAAACTGTATCATAAATTGTTAGTAGACATGTTAAGTGTGACAAGCTGCCTCTACCTACAGAACATGTTTCAATGTCATGTTAAGTTAAACCCGGGGAAAAATAACTTTTAACATGATTATTAAAAAAAAGGTTTTAGACAGTAGCACTTTATGGGAGATTAATGGTATGAATGTGTGATTGATTGAGAATGTGTGAACCATGTAAGTTATTACAAATCCAAACAGCATGCATTGAGTTCCTTTAACTCTTTCAGGCCCATGAATTTTGACGGACTTGGCCCACATTAATTTCCCTTTACAAAAATGGCAGAGGGGTGGGTGTACAAGAAAGGCTGTAGAGATTGTAATATACTTCTAATCCCTATAACAGTACATATTTTTTAAAAGAGAAATGAGTGTACATTCTGAATCTGATGATAAGTGTTTGTTTGATTTTGTTATAGTTAGTGGAAAAGAAGAATTCAGCAGGGGTTAATTTCACAAGGACAACATTTCACAATAAAATTTGTCACTTACCATGGTTTTGCAGCCACAAGAATAGTAGATTTCCAAATTTGAGAACAAATCTTCAAAGTTTGTTCAATTTCCTTACATATTCTAAAGTTATGATAATTTTCTGCGTTAGTTTATCACTCAGGGGCTCTTAGTTCCCACCGAGTGCTAAGAAAAATTTCAGAGAAAAAATGAGCCATAACACACACACACTATTTACTATTCACTTTGTACAGTTATTTACAGACTGTAGCTGCGATGATTTGAATTTAGCTTAGCCATAGTATTGTACTATCTCTTTGTTTAGAGCACTTTCCTTCTCTTACACAATAAATACAGTAGTATGGGACATTGTCTGTGTAATAAACTCGTCAGAATCGCTAGATTCCGAACAGCTGATCGCTCAGATTCACTGGTGAAAATTCACCGTCCGAATCACTTTCCGAAAAATCTAAATTTTTATTATCATTTTCACAATTAAAAACATCTGACTGAAACAATTTCAGAGCTTTGGCCACAGAAAGACACATTCTGTGACCTGTTCTTGTGGTTAGAACATTGGTATTCAGTGCACTTAAAAACTAACTTAGAAAATGAACTGTTAAAAAAATTTTGATGTTTTTTTCTCTCAAATTATCCACGTGTGGTTTAGTCCAAGAAATGAAACTAAAAGGATTTCGGCAGAGTGACTTTCCCTGAATAGGTTATTCGTACCTCCAAACATTAAAAACTAGTACGAACGCGCGTGCGAAGCAAAATGTAAGAGACACAGGATTGACGATGACACCGTTATTTGGGCAGAACGGAACTTCTCAAACTACGCTCACACCGTTGTTTGGGCTTTAAAGAGTTAAATAAGGTAAGGTCGATAGATGTGAACCAGTGTCATTGCACACAGTCATAAACCGTAAGTGCTCTGCCACCAGTATGGACAGCTGATGAGAAACTGTCTGCCTGTGTCACTGTCCACACGTAACTCTGTAGCTACAGCGACGTTCCTCCATTTACCAGAGAGTGTTACTCTGGTACCCTTTTTTAAAAGCTGGGTGAACCCCGGGAACCGCCCGGTTTCGAACACCAACCCTGGCTGCAGCGAGTCGCAGCTGGATTTAAAAGCAAGCCTCCTTTTCACTACGCTAACACGGCTCCCGCGGCTTGCACATTCCTTTAAAATATGTTTTAGCAGTGAAAGGATCAATAAACTGTGCAGATTTAACACTTATTGTTTGATCTGTCTCTGGTCACTCACAAAGAGTTACACAGAGCATGAAACTCCATTGTTCTAGTGGTGATCCCCAGGGATATCAGAAATAGCCAGACTCACAAATGAAAGGACAGAGTTTGAAACCAACTCTACTATCTCCATAGCAAGAGGCAAATGGTTTTATAACTTTGTCACTGAGATCCCAACATGTAATTATATGCTGAGACAATAACAGTATGCATGGACAATGCTGATTGAGCTGAGTCTGTCACAATTTGCAAACAGGCACAAATTTATTTGTGACCTCATTATTCAGACACACTCATTAAATTGTGCCTGCACAAAATAGAACTAAAATGATATGACAGAATCACCAATGTAGAACTCATTAAGATAAATGAACAAATTCAGTTTATCGTACCGTTATGGAAAAACACCAAGGCAGCAAGAAAGATTGCACTCATTACAGAGGTATATCACTTCTTCTTCTTCTTCTCTTCCGCCTTGTACCTCATCGAAGTGTCGGGGCTCTGTCAAGAGCACTATTGAGACTGATGTTTATTTTTTGTAAATTTGTTCTTAATGCCATCACTCCATCCTTTCCGAGGTCTTCCACTCGCTCTAAACCCGTTGTAAAGCTTTAGTGTGGCTCGCTGTGGCAGATAGTACCAGGGCATTCTTGTTAGGTGTCCAAACCACTTCATTTGTTGTTCTTTGATGACCTATAAGACTGGCTTTATTCCTAGCATTCGTCTGATTTCGTATTCTGTCTTTCCTTGAAACTCCCGGAGATCTTCTAAGGCATTCCATCTCTGTTGTCACAATTTTACGTTGATTGGAGGATGTAAATGTCCACGTTTGGCATTGATAGCATAGTGTTGGCCAAAAAATAGTTCTGATGAGATTCACCTTAGTACTCTGAGGTATCTGCTTGTATGTCAACAGGGGAGATAGTTGCCCCATTACTTGATTAGCTTTGGCACATCTCAAGCTTATTTCCCTGTCCAGTTTTCCTTTGGTTGTGAAAATTGCTCCTTTGATAGAAATATCACTGCTGATTTGATATAGCCATTGCTATAAAGAGACAAATAATTGAAGATGCCAATAACATTTCATTCAGAGGTAACACTAGAGACACAAGAAACTAAAGGTAACAAATCAGTTTACATATTTAGGTCATAATAATGATAGTCAGGGAAACAGAAGGAAATTAAAATTCACTGGCAATGCATCAGCAGCTTTTAAAAGCTTAAACAAAATATGGAACTTTGAATTATATCTTTTAGAACCAAGTTGCCTATTTTCAATTCAAATCTTATTTCATTTTTAACATATGTCAATGAAAGTTGGAGAACCATAAAGATATGGAGCAAAAGTCACATAGATTCGAGAACAAAATGAGGACAATTATGAATATAATGTGGATAAATTCCAGAGGATTAAAGAAATAAGAGAAATGTCTGGGCAACCACTAGTATCAACATTTAGAAGAAACAGAGAAGTTGGTGAGAGAGAGACAAACGAAGAATGACCAAACAGGCACTGAGATGGGAAATAGAGACATTGAGGAAATAAGGACATCCAAGAGAACCCTAAGATCAGTGTTGATGAGAGAAGCCAAAGGTGATGGACTGGATTTCACCCATGATATTTGCACAGGATGGAATGGAATAGAAAAACAGATGAGATGGTTCGGTCATCTGACAAGAATGCCATTGGTACCAGCAGCCACATCCATGCTGAATAAATAAAATGGACACAGAGCAATGGGAAGACCACATAGGAGTTCAAATGATGGCATCAAAGAAAGCCTTAAAGAAATGAAGACCAACTTATACAAAGCATTGGATCCTTACATCTTCCCTCAACATTTTGATGAAGTAAATGATGGAAGAAAAGAAGAAGAAAAAGATATAACCAAATAGTATATTCAATAAACCTGCCTGCAAAGTCAAATGCTCAAAAGATGGCAATTGTTATCTATAAGATTAGACAGATTACTATTTCAGTTCTCAGAATGTAACATAGGAGAGGAAGCAGTCATATGTACACACAAATTAAGATAGGTTCAGCACTGGTTTTATTTAGAGGCAAGCATCTCAGACTGCAGCACTTGTTACCAGCTACCACTCAGAATTATGTGTTGTATGCCTGCTTCAAAAAAATTTATATGTCAAATTGTACATAGTCTTGAGAATCTGTAAACCTGCAATGCACTTCATGCAGGGCGCACAATTACCTATGTAACCCATTTCCAGGCAAATGAAAAGAAGTAAGTTCCCATGTTTTACCGTTTGTAATGGAACAAATATGAATTATAAAAAACGTTTATTCAAGGAAAACATATGTTCTCTGTCATATTTGATCTTACTTTTACAGTGGTTCCTAATATACATATGTCTAGGTCTTATTAGAAGGAATACAGGAAGAGTTAGACCCTCTCTTGGAGCCTTTGTTGCTAAAACAAGTTTTCAAGCAAGCAGGTGCATTGTGCATTAAACTTGGGGACTCAACAATTGAGTACTCCAACGATTTCAAGTTCTATGTTACTACAGGATTGAGGAACCCACACTATCTTCCAGAAACATCTGTTAAGGTATGAAGATTATGTCACATGTCATAGCCGTATTTAACATTCCATTTTCAAATATTGCTTGAGAAAGAATTTGTTTACATAGCTCTAGAGTCATAAAGTGGATGTCAAAAACCTGGATGTCTAGGCTTCGATTCCATTGGCTAAGCTGCAGGCTAATTACAGAAAAACACTGCTGACAAACACACCCAAGCCAAACACTGTTTGAAGCACACACACAAACTTTATTATGAAAAGAAACTAACTAGTAGGCTTACACCTCAGAAGGGGTAGTGCTCCTTATTCTGAAACAAGGCCGCTTCTAACTTTACAAATGCTTGACACGCATTTTGGCATTCATGAAATAAGCTCTGAGTCACTGCCACACTCTCGTACAGCGCTAACTCAACCCACTGCCTCCCGATGCCAAAGACACTATGGCACACGCAACATGTGGGCCAGACGTGCGTCGGCAGATGCTATCGCCACGAACAATGCATGGTCTGGCTTATCGTAAATAGTTATAACTACTGACAAAGTCTAACTACTATGCTAAATCTAATGCAAACTAAGATCTAATTAAAACACATATTGTCTACTTTGTAACATTAAATACATTTAATCACACCACAAACAGTACATATTACAGCTAATAACTACAATGGTACATTTCCACTAGTCTATATGATCTGTCAGTGAAACTATCACAATCTAACGGTCCAGTCACACATGATGTCTACAACACAAGTCTTCAGCCAAGAGAGTCCCCAACTGTGCTTTGCACGGTTAACCCTTGCACTGTCCATGTGGCGGTCAGGCTTACATGAAATCCGCCGGCCTTGAACAAGCCACGCCGAGTTTCACCCAGCCTGGTTCAGCTAACCCACATTTATGAGTGTGTATACAGGTACTGAGTTTAGCTATGGGTCGCAGGGTCTATCTTTAGGATTCATCATCATCATATTGAACTGTCCCATAACCGGGAGGACCCCTGACAGTTGACACCAGAAAATGTTCTCCGAAGGTAGGTGCATGATACTGACCTCATTACCTACTGAGTTCTGTTTGGTAAAGAAAATATACTAAACAAGCATCGTGATTCTAATATGCCACAGTGGTATGAAAAAAGAGACATTGTACCTTATTAAAAATGTATTAAGTGTATCTCCTCACTGATCATCTATGTTGCCTGTGTTCTCTTCCAGTGTGTACTCAGCTGGAATCACCAGTGCACAGAGTGTAGGGCCAAACAGAACAATGTTATAAGCAGATAATATCCTTGTGTACTTGCGAGGAGTGAGTGTCTGTGGCTTAGGCCTGGTGACACATGCTTTGTAAAGCCATGGTGCCGGGTTTGATCCCAGCTGCAGGCCTTGCACCTTGTGTTGGTTTCAAGAAGCTGACCGTCCATAAAGCGATGGCAAACTACTGGATGTAAATTTATTTGCCTAGAAAAACCACAACAGCCAAAACATAATGGGATTGGTTCTGCAACATCCTGTAAAGGATACACAAATAACTTAACTCGAGAGGAAGAAATAGGCATGATATTACAAAACATAGAACATGAACTAGGCAGACGGAGTAAAAGGTGTCATGAACATAGAGTACAGGTGAACCTAACAAAAACCTGTTTAACATTGTTCTCCATGAACACTCACATTGTCAGTATAGTATATACATGTTTTTTTTTTAAACTCAGTATGAAATGCACAACAAGTTTAAATATAATTATAAAAAATGTTTTGAAAAATATTCTGAAGTATTTATTATCAGCTGAAAACATAACCACGCATGTCTCAATGACTGTTAAAGTAATTAACCAGTAATTAATTTGTAATAAAAAGTTTTTTCTGTGAAGGTGCAAAATGCCAATAATATTATATATTAAGAAACGATCTTATTTCACAATACAGGTAACCCTTTTGAACTTCATGATAACTCCCGAAGGTCTTCAAGATCAGTTACTTGGCATAGTTGTTGCAAAGGAAAGGCCAGAGTTGGAAGAAGAGAAAAGTGTATTGATTATTCAAGGAGCCAACAATAAAAGGTATATTCTTAAATGCAGTATTTCTTTTTTTTTTCTTTTGAAAAAGAGGAAAGCAAAGAATAAATCAGAGCTATTTAACTGGCGGCCCGTGGGCCAGATTTGGCCCACAATCACCTGGCAAGTGGCCCATGGATCATTACTAGTTGTATTGCATTATTGATCTTTCTATGCTGGAGCTCAGGCCTCTGACTCATAACAACCCCCATGTTCAACATTGTGGCGTCTTAGTAAACTTTGTTGAATAGACGTGCTATAAATAAATCTGTTTTGTGAAAGCACAGCATAGTTGACAATTACCCTAAAAAAACTTACAGTTAATTCAACAGTATTAATAAATTGACCCAGTAAGTCATAATTAAGCAACAAGACTTGATATGGCAAGAGCCGCTATGTCCCAGTTGAATACAGTGTGGGAAAGCAAAATCAGGATAGCAGCAAAGGTCAATATTTACAAATCTCTGGTATTGCTTACCTTCTTGTACAGAAGTGAGAGTTAGACTCTCGCTGTGAGAATCTACAAGAGGATTCGAGTTTTCAAATATAAATGCTTTAGCTGAATTTTACGAAATAGCAATTTAGATCATAAAACTAACCAATATGTAACAGACAAAATATTTCATTTATAAACTGTTTTTTACCAAGTTTTTAGTATCAGCTCAACAACAACAACACTGTTTTCATCACCTTTTATTTATAAATAGTTGTAATTGAATGACAAATCAGGAAGTTCTAAAACAACTCATTATGGAAAGAGAACTGTTGAAGACGGAAAGCATGAAAAAAGATAAAGTATTTTGATCACAAGCTATGACATAACTCTGTTAAATGACATAAAGTTTGGAAAAGGCCAGAAAAGAGCTAAAGGGCTTCAAATGTGTAAATAAACACAGCTGACTAGAATCGGCGTCTGTGGCTTAGGTATTGCAAACATTGATTTTAAACACTATTTCTTTGGTTATTTGAAAATTTTAAACAAAATGAATGTGACACTCAAAGAAAATAAAACAACATGAATGATGTATTCATTTGAGTCTAAACTAATAGATGGTGCTCCAAACGCCATGACTACCAGCTCTTGACTGTCTGACACATTTTCAAAAATTGCAGAAGTTAGGAATGCTATTAATGAGCTGGCTTTGGGGAAGGCACCAGGCAGAGATGGAATTCCTATTGAAATCATCAGGAGTGGGAAAGACATTCTAACTCTACACATTCATCTGCTAAGAACACTGCTGGCACGAGGGACAAGAGGTACAAGAACAAGGATGATCGGAGTGACACAATAACTACAGAGCAATATTAATGCAGTGTACTGTTGGAAAAGTACTTGTGAAAATTGTTATGCAAAGACTCCAGATCATAGGAGACTAGGTTTACACAGAGTCACTGTGTGGCTTTTTGTGGGAACTGGTCTACCACTGATATTTTATTTTCATTACGACAGTTGCAGGAAAAATGTGAACAAAATCAACTATTGTTTATTGCTTTTATAGATCTTACCAAGGCATTTGATTAGGTTAGTCGAAAAGGTCTGTTCAACACGCTGAAGAAGATTGGGTGTCCACCTACCCTACTGAGCGTTATTGAGTCGCCCCACACAGATATGAAAGGTAGTCAACTTTGATTCTGTAACATCAGATGAGTTTCTAATCAACAATGGAGTGAAGCAGGGATGTATACTTGCTACTACCATCTTTGGAATATATTTCTCAGTTTTTTTTAAAAACATGCCTTTCATGATCAGGAGAGTGATATGTTCATCCGTTCTCCATCTGACGGCAGCCTTTACAGTACTCATAGGCGGAAGGCCAAACGCAGGATTAAAAAGGTACTTATTAGAGAGCTGCTGTTTGCAGAAGATGATACAGTAATTACCACCCACTCAAAAGGGCAACTGAAATATTTACTATCTGCATTTGCTAATGCATGCTCTGAATTTGGACTAACAATCAGCAAAAAGAAGACAAAGGTTACGATGCAAGATCCTAATGATAGACCTGCAGTCTACATTGACAGTGAAGAGCTGGAGACAGTTAAGGTTACGATGCAAGATCCTAATGATAGACCTGCAGTCTACATTGACATTGAAGAGCTGGAGACAGTTGACCATTTTACCTGTCTGGGATGCACAGTGAATAACAAACTGTCACTGGACCCATCAGGATAGGTAAGGCAGCAACAACAAAGTGAGCAGATTAACAGAAAGAATTTGGGAGAAAAGAAAACTCACAATTGAAACACAAACTCTTGTCTCTCAGCACTCTGCTTTATAGCAGTAAAACTTGGTCAACTTATTCGCACTAGAGGAAATGGCTAAACAGCTTTTACATGTGATACCTAAGAAGAATAACTTGGCATTAAGTGGCAGGACAAGATCACAATCACTGAGGTATTGGAAAATTACAACAGCTTTATTCAAGATTAGTCTACGAAGGCTCAGGTGGCCGAGTGACACATGGAGAATGGAGGATGGCAGAGTCTCTAAGGTCATCCTCTATGGTGTAATAAAGATTGGTAGAAGACATTGAGGCCGACCTCTACTAAATATTTGTGTAAACAGGACATAAATTATACAGATATTGAGGTGGACTCTTTGGAACAAAATGTAATGGACCTGTTTTGTGGAGAGGGCACATCAGAAAGGGAATGAGAATATAGCAAGAAATGATTGAAGAAAGGATGAGAGCTGAGTGTTTGAGAAGAAACACACCAAACACAAATGTTAACAACAATGGTCCTGAAATCCTTGTATTTGTGGAAGACCCGTCTTGCTAGTCAGAACCACCATCGCCATTGGCTGTAAGTCCCATGCCTGCTTATAGCGCAGTATAAAGACCATTGTCTGGAAAGACAGAAAGGTGCTGATTATCATTCAGTCGAATGCTGTCAGTAAAACAGTGACAGTTAGTTCTTTATGGATCTCTTAACATATTATATCTTGTTAGGGGTTTTTTAATGCATGGAAAGGTGTCAGCAAACAAAATTTATACATGTTATTGGAGATTGCAGGATTCTGAGAAGCATGATTGCCGATGTCTGTAGGCAAAACTCTTGATGGTGATTCTAATTTACTTCAGAAGATGTTTATCTTGATATGCAGAATACATTTTATTTTGCAAATATACTACATTCAGTGACACTGGCCAGTGAGCACATCAGATTCATCCATTGTTCTTCCCACTATATCATTGCACGTCTCTGTAAAACACGTTTTTTAGACTTTAATAGAATGTAAACAATGTATGCATTGTTTGGTTTTTCCAGGCAGTTGAAAGAAATTGAGGACAAAATTCTGGAAATTCTCTCTTCATCTCAAGGAAATATTCTTGAAGATGAAACTGCCATCAAAGTTCTGTCTTCCTCAAAAATTCTCTCTAATGAAATCTCAGAGAAGCAAGTGAGTGTGACTGAGAGTATAAGATTTGTTTCAGTTATTGAATGCCTCATTGTTTTTGGTATCTGCTTCTGTTCAGAAGTTAACCCTATCACACTGACAAGCCACAAAACTGACACTTTGGGTTGGCTCCATCATCTGAGATTCAATAAATAAACAGAGGCGGAACCCTTAAAGCCATAGAGGTATTATGTAAATAATAAATAAATAGGCTGATTGATTGGCACTCATAGAAAGAAGTAGAAAGATAGAAGGACACACTAGACAACATAAAATCGAAAGCTATAGGTACATTGCTGGGAATAGAAGAACCTCTCACCTCCAGATGACATGTGTGACTAACTATGGAAACAAGTGTACTAAGAACTTGACCAACTAGGCACGCCAAGAAGAGTGTCTTCATTAGCTATGTCTATCGTACAGCTTGAAATCCACAACTATTGGATACAGACAGAATTCATCTCAAACCACTAAAATGGCACCATACATTACAGACATTTATGTTAACCAAGCATAGGTCAAATAACAAACGCAGTAATAATGTACAACCTCAGCAAACTGTAATGCTTTGTCTTTGGGTAGAATACACAAACATTTAAGAATGAGTTTGATTGGTAGGTTCCACTGTGTTACACATCAGTGAGTAAATAAATAGAGCGGTCAACACTGACAGGATGTAAAATGGATCTCCAGTGATCATCAAGAGGATTTTGTCACATACTGACATGATGATTATAATTAATTATCTTCTATGCTATACGTCATCACCTAAGAAAGTCACTTTACTGACTTGACTATAGTGGCCTGTTCACAAGATGCCTAGCTGATAGCATTGTTACTGATTGCACCTGTGTATATGTTTAGAAGGACCAGGAATGACAAAAGTTACTACACAACTGCATTTAGAGGGGGTTTTCTGTGGAAAAAGTGGCTTAGTTACTAAAAGACTGCATGCATTGTGCAGGGTTTTTCCGTGGAAAAAAGTGGCTTTATTAATAGAAATTATGACATTCTAATCTTCCCATTGGTCACAGTATTAACCTGTGACCAGGTCACTGGGTCAGAAAAGAACAGCCATAACAACCATAACAATTTATTTTAAAACTCACAGATATTCTACCAAGTTAATTTGCCACTGCATTAGTTTTACCAATGCTCCCTGTATTCTGTGTGGATTTTAACATTGTTTGGTCAATAAATATAATTTGTATTTAATTTTGTTGTGCAGCCTATGTAAAATGTTTTTGGTTCGTTTATTTGAGACTATTTTTGAGACCATTGCTGAGGGTGTAAAAAATGTTTTCGACTTCACTTACAGACTTCCGAGAACTGTATTCTTGAGGGTCAAAGGATAATACATGTTAGCCATATTAGGATCTCACGAACCTATTTACATACTATAGGTACATACAATAAAACACACTGCTACGTGTGTTTAAGTGTGTTTAGATGCGTTCTTTTGTTTACCATAGAAGCATGGTCAGTGAAATATGTAATTTTTGGCCCGAAAATATATTTCTGGTTTTACATTAGTCTACATTTTGTTTATAAAAAATGGCAAGAAAGCTAGTAAAAGATGATGAAGAATAAATAGATTTTCATTTAAGGAGTAGTCATAGTAAGGATCACTTTGAAATGTGCAAGTTATGAGTTGGGCTATCTTCACTGCATTCTGGCGGACATATGTACTTCTGGCATGAGTAAGACCATCTGGCCATCAACATTTACGGTTTGTGAAATGGATCTCCAGTGATTAGCAAGAGGATATGGTTATATACTGACATGATGATTGCAGTTAATTATCTTCTATGATGTACAACAAGCAGTGCATGTGTCAGTCTCTAGAATACTGGTCTTATTTTCCACTGTTGAAGGTTCAGGATTATTTAACAGGAAGTTCCTAATTACAGGTCACTGGCATTGTTGTTTTTTTTCTAGGTTACCAGGGTGAAGGGTTAAAATAGCTTCCCTTCAGGTTACAGTGTGACATTTTATAAAAACAGTTGACATGATTTGATTTGATTTGATTCAGGAACCGACATCACAGCACTCGGGGCATTCCCATAAGCGCTCCGTCCCCATCTTCAGTAGCCACCGAAGAGTTCCAATACTAATGGTGCCAGTAGCATTCTGATGAAATGTCCGTCTTGCCTTTCCTCTGAGCATTGAGCATCTGGCAGAACCTCTTGTCACTCTCTGCTGCAACAATCTCCCCAGACTGTGGTGATCCATCTGCTCCTCTGAACTGTACATGCTATCCCACAGGGCACTAACCACGTCTACCTTATCATGTATCAGTATTCCACCAAGTTGTGCAGAGCCAGCCAGTCTGTCTGCCTGTTCATTTCCCAACACACCGGCGTGACCTGGTGAAAAAATCCAGACAATACTCCTCACCCTGGTCCTCAGCAGCGAAGCATGCCACTCTGCACGAAGCATACCTGTTCTGATCTTCCTCAGCATGCCTTCTGAGTCAGTTACAATCATGATGTGTGTGTGTGTCGTGTTCTCTAGCCAGCGGAAAGTTGCAGTGACCTCCATTCTTTGACACTGAATTGTCTATATAAATGATCAATTCCTCTGAGCGAGCATTATCTTGAATTAATAAAAAAAACAGTTGACATCTATAAAGGTTTCTTTAGTCTCATGGTATCCTCATTTAATTGTGAAAACTAGAAGCTCTATGTTGAAATTACATATGTTGAACATCTAGTATAATTTGGAAACTGCTAAGAACATCATTGGATATAGAGATGACATGAGGACATCCAAAACATTTGTATTTGAATTAACAGGGAATTTTGGTAATTGCGACCTTTACAAGTTGAATGAATATTCAAATGCATTTAATCTCTGATCTGAACAATGTTCTTTGTTTGAAATATGAAACTAGATTCCTAAATCATTCAGAGAGTGATGCCCAATGTTTAAGGATAGTATGTAATTTTTGGGAAACAGCATTTTATTGAGTTATAATTTTGGCTATAAATTTGCTAGAATAATTCAGCATTTAAACTTCACTTAAACATGAAATGTAATGTGCAGATCCTATTAAATAATGCTAAATAGTCACACGCAGGCTCCTTTTTATTGTTGTTTTTAATCATCATTATTGTTACCAGCATCATCAGATTATTAGAGTCTGACATTAATGTTTCCTTGCCTGTTGATTTTGAATATTATAGGCCGTCACTGTTAGAATGTAATAAAAAGTGAGTTAACAGTTTTAACATATTCAAGTCAAATATATATTGTCCATGAGTTTTAACAAACATATTATGTGAATATCTTCCAGGCAATAGCTGAGGAAACAGAAATCAAGATTGACGAGGCTCGAATGGGGTACACACCTATTGCAGTACACAGTACTGTTCTGTTTTTTTCCATTGCTGACTTGGCTAATATAGACCCGATGTACCAGTATTCTCTCACCTGGTTTATCAATTTATTTAATTTATCTCTTGAACATGCTGAAAAGTCTGAATCATTGGAAGAACGTTTGAACAACCTGCATTCCCACTTCACTTACCTGCTGTACACCAGTATTTGTCGTTCACTTTTTGAAAAAGACAAAGTATGTTCTTGTATTTTATAAAAATATTTAAAACACTGTTTACATTTTGCTGTTTATTATGATTTGAAAACTGTATTCCTAGATGAGTAATTTTACTGATGCAAAAAATACTGGCATTATTGGTACAATTGTAATCTATTTGAAGGCAGCAGATTTTACATTATGTCTTGCATTTGGTTGTTCTTTCTTCCACTGGAAATATTGTTGCCATTGTCTAAGCTCTAAATCTGATTTGCCTATGGTTTAATTTAGAGCATATTTGTTTCCATTTATCTCTTTAGGTGTTACTAGCTATAAGCTTTACTTTGTCACATGCTTTCTTGTGTGTGTAATCTCGACTGTATCAGAGGATGTGGCCTCCAGTATTCTCACTTCATTTCTGTCAGATAATGGCAACATTAGGAGTTAAGGTAGTGCAGTGGCTTGCATGCTTGTCTGTAAGCTTCACATTTATGTGTTCAAATTCTCATTTATTTAAACAAGATTTTTCAAAAACATAAAACAAATTTTATATTGTCTCAAACTAAAATGTATAAAAGAGAACTCCACAGGAAGTAAAAAAGCAAAAAGTATGATATTAACCACATCACCTATCGAGTGCCAGTTAATCTTTAAACATTTCACACTGTTCAGATCTTTAAAAAATGACTTTTTACAACATGTCATTAAAAAGAAACACAGCATTATAAATCTCAGAAATTACCCAAAAAAAACTGGAGGAAAAGAAAAAAATTGAGAAATATGGAGTTTTGGCCAGTTATTATAAAAAATCTAAGAGGTTGAAACCATTGTCGAGCCAGCAGACTGCTACCTGTTGTGTCATAGCTGACCTCATGTCACTAAAAAGATGTATTTTTTCATATTTAGAGACATTATTTTGCACAAGTGTGATTTTGTTGTTGTCTAAATATATGAATGGAAGTAATCACTAAATACAAATGGAACAAACAAATAACTGCTTTCCTTTCCCTTTGACCAACCACACACACAAAAATGCACACACACACACACACACATGCACACACACACGCATGCACAATCTCACACACACACACACACACACACACACACACACACACAGAGTTTACACCGTAGGTGCAGTGAGTACAAAGCTGTTATATAGGAATATTGGCCACTCCCAGAGGTTTCTTGTCATTAAAAACCCATAACAATTTGAAAACTATCTTTCTCAGGGCAGTAGGTTTAAAAATTGAGAACTAGAACTTTCTTTTAATTGTTTGCTTATTTCTTAAATCATAAAAAAAAAAAAAAATTCTGATTTTTGACACTTTCAACCGTTACATGAAATACACATTCATTTATTTTGTTCCTACAATATCCATATGAATGTGTCTAAGATGTTCAGTTCAGACTTTATTTATCTTGCTGTTTTTGTGGGGGGATGTCATCAAGTTGTCCCCTCGTGGGATGCAATTTTTGCTAATTTTAAGCCCCACCCTGGCTTTTGCAGAAGGCCCTGAATATAGCCAGGCCATAAATATGGCCTAGCCATAGATATGACCTAAACAGCTGAAAGGGGTGTCAGTGACCTCTCCATGGGTGATCCTCATCTGCGTGGTGGCACTTTGAATCACCAGGTGTTTATCACTTGTGTGATGTCCTGGTGGGGTACAACTACCTACGTACCTTATCTTGCTGTTTGGTTTGTGAAAATGCCTATATTCTTTTGTGAATAGTATTTAAAATTGTTAACTGTAAAATATGAGTAGCTGTGACACATTTGAGCAAGGGTGTTAACATCTTAAAATAATTCAGAACATACCTAGTAATACAATAATTTTGTGTATAAGGAGCCTATTAGCAGTATAACAAGATACTTCAACCATAGTTTACTGGTAAGGCAAAAGATTAGTATCTGCACACAGTCAAGCAGCATTTTATCATCAGGCCTTTACAAAGTCATTATGGCTTTTAACTGCAAGTTTACATAGGTGCTGTAGTTATTTGTTGTTGTTGTTGTTAGTACCTGTCAACTTATTTTGTTAATAATTGTTCTTGTACTCTCTGAATTTTCTTTTGTAGCTTCTATTCTCATTCTTGCTGTGCATTAACATCCTGAAACATGGCAATGAGATCAGTGAAGATGAGTGGCGATTTTTCCTCACTGGTGGTGTGGGACTTGACAATCCTTATTCTAAGCCAGTAGACTGGATTCCAAGTAGAGCCTGGGACGAGCTTTGCCGTATAGATTGTCTAAAAGATTTTAAAGACTTGAGAGAGAGTTTTTTACCTGATTCAAAAGATTGGCAGAAGCTTTACGACAGTCTAGTGAGTATTTCCAGTCATTGAATGTCTGTTTAGGGTAAATGCAATTGATAGCAAAAATATATAATGGTCCTTTGTCATTGAAGCATATGATATTTTTCAGTATCATGTAATACTAACTTTTTGTTCTAAAGAGTTTGTGCTTAAGAGTATCAGTCACTGAGTTTTATAAAGGTACACTAACACAGTTATGCAGATTAAGTTAAAGTAACAGCTGTTATAGAATGTTAAGTAGAAGACAGTTCGGTTTCAGAAAGGAAAAGAGATGTACAGATGCAATATTTTCTTCAGAATATGCAAGCATTCTATTGAACATGATTCAAGTAAACATCTTATATTTATAGATCAAGATAAGGCATTTGATTGAGTCAATAGATGCAGACTATGAACATTTCTAGAGTATTATGGTATTCAAAATTAACTATTGGAAAACATAGCTCTTTATCTAGATAGTCAGTGCACAGTAAGAACAACTGGAGAAGTGACAGACTGGTTTCCCATCTCATAAGGTGTCAGACAGGGGTGTGTCCTCTCACCACTGCTATTCATTACTTTACTATTATTAATACTATTACATTCCTATCATGGATAGAATTACACAGGAGGCAAATACAAACACTGAAGAAATCAATAAACTTCTTTTTGCAGATGATCAGTGTCTAATATAAAAACTAAGAACATTATTTACAACACCATACAGACTCCTTACTTTAAACCTGCACAAAGTATGAAATAAGAAAACAACACTGCAAAAAATGAGGTTCTTCAAATAGGCAGGAAAAATAACATGAATGTTCATGTTAAGGATACTACAATCAAACAAGTATGACAATTCAAATATCTAGGAAGCATATTTACTGAGAATGGCAGACCCCATAGAGAGATAGAAGCCAGAGTACAGAAGGCAAAGGCTGTCACCCACCATGTAGCCCCACTGCATAGACACCCAAATGTCTCCTTTTCAGTAAAACAGCAAATGTTTAATTTAATCTTTATCATTACTTTATGCTATCAGTGGCCAACATGGACAATGAATAGGGCAATAGAATAGAAAATAACTACATGTGAAATGCACTTTCTCGGCACTGTCACTAACAACAGTAGACAAGACAGGGGTTTCAAATACTAGCATAAGAGAGAAAGTTGGAATAAGACCATGTCTCGATTATATTGACAAACAAATAATGCAATGGTTCATGCATCTAGTGAGAATGCATCCAGACCAAACTGTATATGAGACTTTTTTTTTTTACAGCAGAACATCTGGGAGGAAGACGAGGGGGAGACCATGAAAATGATGGATAAATGATGTAGCTAAAAGCTGCAAAAAGATAAACAAATCCCTCACCAAAAACCACCCAAAAAGTGCAAGACAAATACATTAAACCACAACAACGGGCTAACTTTGTATCAGTGAGATGACAAAAAAAAAGGAAAGGGTAGAATGGATTAACATAAACAACAAAGGGGACAGATGCAGTCAGGATAAATGTACCATGTGTATATCGTGGACCTCTATGATATGGTATCTTATAAAGTGGATCAGTGTATAGTCTGGCTGATTCTCAGAGTATCTCAACATATAATCTGTAGCACAAATCAGGAAAAATACACAGAAGCTAATAAGTATTTTTAGGAGGTGAATAAGTGCAGTAAAAAGAAATATTTAGATGACATAGCACAAGAACTGTTGGCAAACTTTTGGAAAAAATTGTCGCACAAAGATTGACCACCTACTTGGAACTACATGATAAGTTCCCACCAACACTTGGAGGGTACAGTTTAAATAAAGAGATATGGTTCAATGCTGCAGTTTTCGCCTACGATGTGTACGAGGGATTTCAGATTAAAGAAGAGACATGTGCGGCAGTGTTGGACTTAGAAGATGCCTACAATAAAGTACCATATGATTATTTAATGCAATTACTGCTTAAACTAGAAGTTAATCCTATTCTGATCCGCTGGATTGCTGCGGTCCTGTTCCAGAGAAAGATTGTACTAAGATGTGGTAGCTGGTTCTCAGAACCGCAAATGATATGTCCAGGCTTGCCACAGGGATCACCGCTATCACCAGTCTTATTCAACGTTTATACGGTGATGATCACTGAGCAGCAGTTGAATGGAAAGGGAAGGACTTTGTCATTTGCTGATGACATTTTGATTTATCGACGAGGGCGTGATAGACAGGAGATCGCCAGCACTATGCACAAAGAACTTGATCGAATTGCCGCCTGGTGTGATGGTTCCAATGCCTATGTCAATCCTTCGAAGGCATCAGTGTCATGGTTCTCTTTGAACAATCACATTGTCAAGTTGGACTTACCAGAAGTGAAAATGCGTGATAATGAATTGATCAGAACCAACGTTATGACGTTTCTCGGGGTGAGGTTCGATCGCAGCTTGTCATTCAGGGAACACGTTGACCATGTGATAACAAAAGCACGCAAAGGTCTATCTGCAATGAGGATTATGGCTGCTTCCAATATTGAGCAAAGACTACTAATAATTCTATTCTAGGGTCTGGTCCTTTCCCCCATTGAATACGCTCTGGCCATCCTCACTGTCAGTGCTACCCAGATTGATCGACTCAAAAAGGTACAAAATGAAGCCATGCGCATTATTTTGGGATGTACAAGAGACACATCCTGTGGAGCAATGAGGTATCTACTTGACTTTCCAACAATGAACCAAAGGATCAGGATGTGGAGGGCTCGGGCATATCTCAAAATATGTGCTGATAAGAAACACCCACTGCATCAAGCGCTTTTTAGTGAAAAGGGCGACAGACTGAAGAGGGGGAAATCTTGGCTAGGTCGGGCAGAAGATGTTATTAGGCAAATATGCAGCCTAACCGACATCATACCTGGTGCAGAATGGATACCTGTGCCTCAGGCGTTTATTTGTACATTTTCCTGTATTGTCACACTCAACAGGCGATATAAAGAAGAGAATCCTGTTGCTGTTAATGCAGAGGTCAACGCTCTTATCGGTGAAAATTCAGACGAAGCAGATGCAATAATCTATACAGAGGATCCGTTATACGCCAAAGAAGAAGCGCATGGGCATTTACAGCACGCTCAGCGGGCAGAACAGTCAAAGAAGCCAACGGCGCCTTCTCCATGACAACCAGCAGCATGACGATGGAGGTGATGGCAGTGACGCAAGCGTTTGCCTGACTTGAAACACAAAAATACACCCGTGTATGTATACTCAGTGATTCAATGAGTATGATCCGGAGGGTTCAGGCAGGTTCAGTGCGAAGACAATGGCTTGAATCATTACAGAAGTCCACTGTGCATGGAGTCACCTTTATTTTTGTTCTGGGACACACAGGCGTCGATGGAAATGAAAGAGCTGACAGGTTGGCTGGATCCGCTATCACTACCGACGGTCAGCCTATGGATCATGCTGATATTATCAATGCCCTCAGAGAAATGGGAAGGATAGAGGACTTTGGTGGCAGTGAATCCACATCACTCGCCAGAATGGCAGACTTGGGAATTAAGATCGGCACAGCAAAAAACGAGACGCACACCAGACACGCCAGAAGACTTGTTAATCAACATAGAACTGGTACTATTAGCCATAGGACGTTGGGGTTCATACTGAGGGGAGGATCTGAGCACCTATGGACATGTCCGGAGTGCAGTGAGGATAACCCAACTAACTAACTAACTAGCACAAGAAGCGAAGACGGCAGCAGCAAAAGGAAACCTCAGAGATTTTTGCAATAACACAAAGAAATTAGTAGGTAAATATAGTCAGCCAACTGGATGAATGAAAAATAGTCAAGGAAAGGTACTCGCCAACACTAAAGATTAAATGGACAGAATATTTTGAAATACTGCTGAATAGACCAGCTCCAAAGATTCCTCCGGATGTCCAGCCTTTAGAAATAGAAATGGATATCAACTGTAAGATACCATCTAAAGAGGAAGCTAGAAAAACCATATGAAGGAAGGAAAGGTGACTGGTCCAGATGGTATTCCAGCAGAAGTTATTAAGGTCAGTATAAACACATCAACTGAATTACTACAAAGATTATGTTGTAAAGTCTGGGAGACCAAAGAAATACCAGAGACTGTAGAGAAGGATATCTTGAAAAACTGCTTTAATAAAAAGAGCTACTGGAGTGTGAAAAGTATAGAGGAATTATGTTGCTGTAAGTTCTTGAAAAAGTATTAAATAGGGTTATTTTGGAAAGACAAAAAAGATACTATTGATAAAAATCTAACAGATGAGCAGGCAGGTTTTATGCCAGACAGATCCTGTACTGACCAGATAGCCATGTTATGTTTAGCCATATTTTTAACATAAACTAAACTGAGTATCTCAGTAAATCATCATAACAGTGGTTTATTCATTTATCGCTAATTAATCATTCCATCTGTCATGTTGACCTAAAACTTGTATCTTTTGTCAAGTATAGAATGTTATTACATACAACAGGTGGCATAATTACATTGACCTAACAGCCAGTGTGATTATATTACCAGCCATAATAATCGACAGCCAGATGGGAACTTTTTAAAATATTAACCCACTGATTACCAAGCCCTTTAACCTGTGCACACATTTTAGTATGTACTAAAAATGCCATAACTTCACAACCATTCAACATACACTTATCATATTTTGTATTTTTGTACCAAATTAAATAGAGAATACATTGCAAAAAAACAGAAATGGATTTATTTTGTTTGACATCATCTTGTGGCTGTTGATATGGTACAAATAAGGCAACTGAAAAATATGTTATCTGACAACAATACAGACTAAAAGGATTTTGAGGTTTTGAACAACGGATCAACATCATGGCACACGGGTAGTAACCCATAAGTGCTCCATTCTTCCTCTAACTCAAGTCTGAGTCTGAAGAAGCTCAGCACAGTACAGAGGCTCTGTAGCACCGGCGAGGATCCTGAAATACTTTGGGTAGGTTTAAAACTCGAAATTTTGCCCAGGCAGCACTGTGAGCTACCCTTTTTGATTTCCAACTGCCA